TTTTGCAAACTTCAAACGTGCTGCAATATTCTTTTTGGACAGCAATGGCTTCCTCCGTGGTGTCCTCCCATGTACTCCATTCTTGTTTAATGTTTTCCTTATTGTAGATGTGTCAACAAAAATGTTAGCATGTGCCAATGATTTCTGTAGGTCTTTAGCTGACACTCTGGGATTCTTCTTTACCTCATGCAGCATTCTGCGCTGTGCTCTTGCAATCATTTTTACAGGACGACCACGCCTAGGGGGAGTAGCAACAGTGCTAAACTTTCTCCATTTGTAGACAGTCTGTCTTACCGTGGACACATGAACATCAAGGCTTTTGGAGATACTTTTGTAACCCTTTCCAGCTTCATGCAATTCAACAATTCTTTTTGGGGGTCGTAGGTCTTCTGAGAGCTCTTTTCTGCGAGGCATGGTTCACATTAGACAGTGCTTCTTGAAACCAGTAAACTCAAAACAGGTGTTGTGTTTTTAAGGGCAGGACAGCTGTCAGCAACACATTCAATATCATTCACACTGATTGGAGTCAAGGTTGGCTCACTCTTGGCTCCAATTAGCTCTGGGAGAAGTCATTAAGATAGGGACTCACATACTTTTTCCTCCCTGCACTGTGAATGTTTACATGTTATGTGCAATTAAACCATGCAACATCTAATGTTTGTGTAGTATTATGTTCAGCAGGACTGTGTTCTTCTATTGTTGTGACTTAGATGACGTTCAGAGCACATTTTTATGCCCAATTCATGCAAAACTCCATGTAATCCCAAGGGGTTCACATACTTTTTCTTGCAACTGTATAAGCCAACAGTCACTAAGAACTCTGTGAATTAATGACACGGCTGTGTGGGCGGGGCCCTGCATGGTCGTGCTCTATCCAAAAAGTGACAGCTAGTACGGGGAACTTTTCCCAGTACTGCTGTCACAGAGAGGAAGAGGAGGGGGGGGGGGGGTCAGGTGACAGCTGAAGCATAGGGAACATGTTACATGCTCTGCCTTAAACACCAATGTAACATGTTTCCCAATGGTGAACTCCTGAATCCTTTAATGAATCTTCATCCAAAAGACTGTAGTGGCAACTAACCAATCAGCAAGATCCCTTACCAAAATGGGACAAGTAAACAGGAGTGTTGCCCTGAAGGTCCAGTAGAACTGTGAACTACCCTTTCTATTGTTCCTTGACCAGTTTCCCAAGGTGAACTTTCTCCTAACGTTATTAACATTCAGATTGAACTCCATTTTTTGAATGCGCAAGATTCATCATATTTAGATACCTGTCAGCATTATATCTTCTATCATATTTTCATTGCTACTTCGGGTCCTTCACTCCCTTCTGACACGGAAAATATAACTTCTTACTCTCTTACTATCTTCCTATCCATGCAAACTCTATCATGAAGGTCTATGGTAAAGTCCTACACATTCCTAAATCACTCTCAATTTTATATTCCTCTTTTGGCAGCTCTTTTGCGGAAATTCTCATCTGAAAATGTAAAAAATATGCTGGAACCATTCAGTTTGTTATACTAAGGAATTTCCTATAGAAAACATTTGCACTGGTGAGATGGCCAAGATGGAGTATGTGAGTAAATATTTGTGGGTTGGTCCTAGTCAGACTTTGAACTGTAATATATAATTTATGGCAATCTATATGAAATTTATACATGGCCAGTGTAATTAAGTAATTGTTGGGTTAGAACAAATGTAATTTCTGGGTTAGCACAAATATACTTAGATTTGTTTTACTGTGCTTATCAGGCTTACTTGATGTACTCAGATGTAGGTTAATGAGCTTTGTAAGACAGGACTACCTCACAGTAATGGCTCAGCTTGAAAACACTCGTCATCATTAACACATAACCACCCAATTATTGCAAGCAACACTCAAATGTACCACAACACTTGGCCATAAACAGCCTGATAATTACAAGCGATTTTGAACATCTCTCCAATTAATAGGCCATTTCTGAACTTACAGGGTGTCACACATATGCCTCTAGCTTTCTGGAAAATCTCCCACAAAGCAGGCCCAATTATTTCTTCTTTCATGGTGCAGTTAAAAAGAATCATAGTACCCTGTAACTTTGTCACCAATGGGTAAAAGTTATACAATGTCTTTTGTACTTAAGTAAATATATATATATTCCGTTCGCTGAATCATATTGTAATTTCAATACTAGTTGTCTGGCTTCAAAGAGTTGCTTAAAATATTAATCTTTGACTATTAGGTCTGTATTATGTAAATGAGCTTGAGGTTGCTTAAGTATCCAACATCTGCATTATTAGGAGATTACCTCTAGCCTGCTTGACTTTTTTGGGTTGGGTTCCCTTTCAAATGACACTAAAGCTTGTTTTTTGTTTTTTTAATAAACATGTCTGGGGGCACTGCTGCATGCTTATCCCTGAGCTGCTGCTCTATGTGTCCATAAGGCACATAGAGGCATGGCTCGGTCACACCTCTGCTCTCTCCTCATTGGCTCACTGGCTGTGATTGACAGCAGCAGGAGCCAATGTCTCAGCCAATTTCCCCTCCTGCTAGAGGTTCCATTCCCGTCTGTGAGTGACGCACATTCCATCCCCGTCTGCGCATGCACACTGGGCCCTGCTTACAGGGTTGTGTCGGCGATGTTCTGGGTTCATACAGCTTTGAGCTTGACAGCTGGCATGGTCCTCCTCTATGGACAGTGGGACCATGGACCAGGAAGGAATTTTTTCCCTGCAGGAGCAAATTGGATCATGCCTCGCTGGGTTTTTTTGCCTTACACTGGAACAACTGTGGGTATAGGATTATAACTTTTTTTTTTTTATGGTTGAACTGGATGGACTTTTGTCTTTTTTTCAGCCAGACTAACTATGTAACCATGGACCAGGAGGGGCAGCTAGACTATTTTAATGTGCCTGCAATTTGATCATTGTATGGCCTTACACTAGGGCAGTGTTTCTCAATTCCAGTCCTCATGGACCCCCAACAGGTCATGTTTTCAGGATTTCCATTATTTTGCACAGGTGATTTGATCAGTTTCACTGCCTTAGTAATTACCACAGCTGTTTCATCTGAGGGAAATCCTGAAAACATGACCTGTTGGGGGTCCATGAGCACTGGAGTTGAGAAACACTGCACTAGGGCAATCCTGCGCTCTCTCTCTGTCTTTTTCTTTTGTGCTGATCTAGATGTGCTCCTACCCCCAGGAGGAACTATCTGAGAGCTGTGGAGACCAAGTGCACTTAACCCTTGAGGCACTGATGTACCCTTAATACCAGCATAGATGGTGCATGGGGATCAGCGCATTGTGTATATATTTTGTCTAGTTTACAATAAAAATTTGGTGTGGGTGCATAATTCATCTAATGTTTCTTAGTATTTTTTTTCACTTATACAATTTGCAATCTAATACAGTAGTTTCAACGGTTAAGTATTATTTTTAAAAAATAACATGGTACTTGTTAGATTTATCCTTTAATATAATGGCTGTACCAGAAACACCTGAGTTTTGTTGTGTGTCCATTAGAAAGTTTCTCTGAAACAATTTTTTTCACTGTACTAATTCAAAATGTCTCTAGTTTTGTCTCTTTGCCAACTCTCTGTTATCTTCCTAATTTTCCCATTTTAATCTTTGATCCTCTTTATCATTGTGTTTTCACTGTGCTTGCCTCACTTGCTTTTCCTTCCCCTGTATGCTGATAAGCATGTAACACGTGGCAATCTTGTCTATCTTTTATCTGAAATTAGATCTGCTGTTTTAAATAAAAGGGTAACAAAATCAAAGATAATTGCATAGAAATGTACAACTTCACACTCAGACACGAACCTCTCTAACTCTATCCCATTATCCTGCTCTCCTCCCAAATCTTTCTCGTTTTCTCTGTCCCCCCACTGGCTCCTTCCTCTGTTATCACTCTTCATTATGTATAATGCATATGAATAGTGCAGAAGCAGATGAAAGTCAATAACGTACACATAAAGTCTGAGTATTTATGGAAAGCGATTATCATATACTGGTTTTGAAGATGAAAAGGTGTCTGCTGGAGGGATAGACATCAAAGTTCTAGAAGTTGCATGGAATATGAATTTGCTTTACCTTTTAGGGAATTGATAAGGTTTTGCCGGTGGTTAAATGATACTACAGGGAGCTTCTAAAGTTTAAAGCCCAACTCCGAGCACAATAACGTTACCAATGTTAAAGCAAAAGCAAGTAAACAGTCCTTTTCATCAAAAGCCACCTCCCGTCATGGATGCTTTGTTTTACATCCTGCAAATCTTCTTGTTTACATGCTGGGATTAGTAAATTCCTGTGGTACTTCCATTTCCCTCAGATTCAAGGACTGAAGGTCTCATGGTCATGTCCCCACCCTCTTCTCTGTCACCATCTCCGCCTTCCTCTCTTCCTTACCATTCACAAGACACATAGGTACAAGCTCTGTTTTGCAAAAGGTAAGGGGGAGCGGGAGACGGAGCTCAGCACTGGGGTCTATGAGATCTGTGGCGCTAACATCCACGCAGCCCAAACGTACAGCAGAACCTCTACTATCCCAAGCAGATTTGCAGCATGTAGAAGAATGTGTACTGTACATGGCAGGAGGTGGCTTTTGAGACAAGGGAATGTTTAACCACTTGCCTACCGGACACTTTTACCCCCTTCCTGCCCAGGCCAATTTTCAGCTTTCAGCGCTGCACTTTGAATGACAATTGTGCGGTTATGCAACACTGTACCCATAAAAAATATTTATCGTTTTTCATACAAATAGAGCTTTCTTTTTTGGTATTTAATAACCACGGGGTGTTTTATTTTTTGCTAAACAAACCAAACATTTTTAAATAAAAAATGTTTTTCTTAGATTTCATTATAAAATTTTGCAAACAGGTACTTTTCCTCCTTCACTGATGTGCGCTGTTGAGGCTGCACTGATGTCCACTGATGAGACTGCACTGATGGGCACTGATGAGGCTGCACTGATGGGCACTGATGAGGCTGCACTGATGGGCACTGATAGACTGCCTTGATGATCACTGATGAAGCTGCACTGATGGGCACTGACGAGGCTGCACTGATGGGCACTGATGAGGCTGCACTGATAGGTGGCACTGATGTGCACTGATAGGTGACACCAGGTACGGACTGACAACTCATGGGGCCCCCGGGCAATAGGGGATCATGGGGCCCCTGTGTCCTTGCCCAAACTTTAAAAAGCCTATGAAAAAGGTACCAGGGGCATCTTATGGGGCCCCCTACTGACCCCGGGCCCTCGGGCAGTGCCCAAGTTTCCATATGGTCAGTCCGCCCCTGGGTGACACTGATGTGCACTAATATGCAGCACTGAAGGGCACTAATGAGCAGAACTGACTGGCACTCTCCAGGGGGTGTAGGAGTACTCACACTGTCCTGTCATATTAGCTTGATGAGTTGGTAGCTGCTTTCAGGCCTTACGCTGGACTGCTGCACAAGATGTCCTCCCAAGGAGACTTTGGGCAGTGGTTCTTTCTAGTATCCCACTTGCAGGTAGGCTCCCCTCCTTGGGGCCCCCTCCCCATTTCCACACTCCAGCCTCCTCTCAGCAACTCCCTTGCTGCACAGGGTCTGCCACATTTAAGGGTTGCCCTTAGCCGACATGCTCGGCATCCTGCCTGGGGATTGGACAAGTTCCCCTAAACATGCAAATCTGGGCCTCCTCCTCTCCTCCACCCATCTTCCAGAAAGTTCTTGTAGTTTCTGGAAGGGTTGGAGGGCTCCAGAAACTCTGACCTGTAGTGCCTCCCAGCCTGCTTGAGGTGAACTCACTCTACCTCATTCCCAGACTGACTCATCCCAGGCTGCTACCCATCCTCTAAGTAACAAAACAGCAAATCCTTTCACTAGAGGGCGCTACATGGACACGGTTGCTATATTTTTATACTTATACAGTATGGGGTTTATTTACTAAAGCTGGAGAGTGCAAAATCAGGCTCAATTCTGCATAGAAACCAAACACGTTCTAACCTCATCTTGTTCAATGAAGCTTTGGCGATAAAACCTGGAAGCTGATTGGTGCGTATGCAAAAGTGAGACGCATTTTGCACTCTCCAGCTTTAATAAATAAACCCCTGTGTATTGCACTCAATATGGTATATGGTTGTACGTTACATTTTTTTCAATAAAAAAGCAGTTTAAAATAAAAACACGTGTCATTATCTAAGAGATATCTGCCTGTCTACACTAAAGTTGCACACATTGGTATTTTTAGTATGAAAACTAAAAATACTTTTTTGTTCTACAAACTATTGAGGGCATCACATATTAATTTTCTTGCATTAATATTGATTACTTCCTACAGTTTATCACATGCTGCTGTCTATATTGTAGCTTTTCAGTTTTGTTGCTATGCAAATTTTAAAAAAAAATGGATAACTAAAAATAAACGTGCTAGTCTACAGGCAGACACAGCATCTGAGAAACAATAAAGCTACTACACATAAATTCCTATTTTACTAATTTGATGGAAAAGGAATGCATTTTCTTATGAAGAAGCATATAATCATTGCATGCAACTCAGGGGTTCTAATCGTTCTCTATTCTACCAAAAATGAAAAGAAAAATGTTTTGCCTTTTCATATACTTTAAGGAATAACTCTAGAAATGGGGCTTCCCTGGACTTGGGCAAAGTGGGCGTAATGGTAAACATCATACTTACTTCATTGCCCTTGATTATGAGATTTTTGCCTCTCCAGGGCACTTTCACTCCCTGTGATCTGCAGTGTAGCCATCTAGTTGTCGGAGGAATTAAAAAAAACATATAATTTCCTAATGCAGGGTTTGTCAACCAGCAACCCTAGGGTTCTTCCAGAGGTTGCTAGGGGTTCTTTGAGCAATGAGCAATGTCTGCCTCTTAGATAAGCTCCCACTGACACTATTGATATTAAGTTTCTGTAAAGGGGTTATTCCTCCCAATGGATCCTTCTTTCCGGTGACCATCACGCTAATGTATTATGTGTTGTACTTTTAGCAGCGAATCCCTGAGACAGGAAAGGTATTTCCAGGGTTCCTCTTTGTTGAAAAGGTAGAGAAAGGCTGGTCTAATGGCTAACTAACTGATTCTAGCTGTCTGGTTCCACATAAACTACCTTGTAGAACATGTGGAGCAATGCAGTTTGTTAAAGTAGAGAAAAGTAGGATATTGTTGCTACGTATTCTGCTGGCTGTATATGTTAGGGATGTGTTCAAGGTTTGGTCCGTACACAAAAAAAATGACAGAAAATAGACATTTTTAATTTCACAGATTTGGATCCCTTTGATTTTATTGGGGTTTGGGTTTGGCATCTGAACCTCTCTGAAGTTTGGCGAACCCCAGCTGAACCAAACCTAGGGTTGCTTGGCTCATCACCAGGGGCGGACTGAAAACTCATGGGGCCCCCGGCAATAGGAAATCATGGGGGCCCTGTGTCCTTGCCCACACTCAAACCACACCCAAAAAGTCCTATGAACTTACCAGGGACATCTCATGGGGCCCCTACTGACCCTAGGCCCTCGGGCAGTGCCCGAGTGGCTAAATGGTCAGTCTGCCCCTGCTCATCACTTGTATACATAAAGTTGTTAGCATGGGTTGAGCCTTATTCTGTGTGTTGCTCTTTTATGCCAGGAGTGTGGGCTTCCGGGCTGACTGCACTGTCACTGACAACTTTCACTCTCAGAGTAATAATTGAGAGCTGGCAGAACGGGCTCCCAGTAAAGGGAAACCATATATCTGCTCAATATGGCTGTCAAATAGACCACACAGGGAGAAGCCAGTGCATGGAGGGACCTGCGTCTGTCCGTATATCCAAGAATGAAAGTGCAAGTCCTGCACTCTGCACTCCTCTCCAGGATGCTTTGCTGAAAATAAGGCAAACACATTAGAAAAGACATAGGGGTTGATTTGCTAAAGGCAAATAGACTGTGCACTTTGCAAAGTGCAGTAGAACTCTGCAAGAGCAGTTGCTCCAGAGCTTAATAAATGAGCAAAAGCTCTGCTGACTTGCATCATCAAATCATAAGCAGGCAAGAGTGCTTTTTTTTTTTTCCAATTTTCCTTGCATGTGATTGGGTATTCCTTGCAAAGGGAATCTTTATCTCTTTTACAAAGCTCTGGAGCAACTACACTTGCAGAGTTCAACTGCACCTTGTATGGTGCACAGTCTCTTTGCCTTTAGTAAATAAACGCCATAGTCAGCTATCATGTTTCAGCCAGAATGCATCCTAAGTTGTAGTTGACTCTTACTGAATGTTAACACACAGAAATACCTGCTTAATCCCCAATGAGACGGGGCAGACAATATTAACTCGTTTAGGTGGCACTAACCCCTGTTGTGTGTAAACAATTATCTAAAATCTGATATTTTAAAAATCAATATGTATAAAAACAAAAATGCAACAGAGATGCAGCAAAAATATGTAACAAAGATGACAGCATTAATAATAACTTTACATAATCCATAGACACATTGGAGTTGATTTACTAAAGGCAAATAGATTGTGCACTTTGGAAGTGCAGTAGCTCCAGAGCTTAGTAAATGGGAGGAAGCTCTGCTGACTTCCATCATCCAATCAAGGGCAAGCAAAAATGCTGAGGTTTTTTTTTGTTTTGTTTTTTTTTATTTTACTTGAGCGTTATTGGGTATTCTTTGTAAAGTGAAGCTTTATCTCATTTGCTAAGCTCTGGCGCGACTGCACTTGTTTATTTGCCTTTAGTAAATCAACACCAGTGTTTTTACAATATGACATTACAATTTAATGTATAACAATATTATCCTGTGTATAAAATGTTCAAAATAATACAGAATGTGCCATCCCAATCCTCAATCAATAGCAGCTTCCTCAAACCATATACATAGTACTTTTAAAGATTTAGTGTGGAAACAGATCATGATCCCGTCGATGGTTAAGCCCAGAGGGTGTTTGAATAACATGTTTGCGTATCCAGAGAACTTCTTTTTCAAGTAACTTCTTATATAAACCTCCACCATTATCTGAAAGAATAGACTACCAATCGCATGATCCCCGTGACAGACAATTTGAGTTAATTGTCCTCTCTTGAAGTGTATTTCCACCAGAATTTCCATTAGTAGTCTTAATTGAGAAAAATCCAACATTCTTAAATATTGTTTACCTTTTAGATATTTCTCAGCAGAAGGTATTGTAGCAAGCATACACACAGAGATGGACTCGGTTCAACCATTTTGCTCCAACCCTCCATCTTGTAGACCCTTCTCCCCCTCTTTGATCATCCCCCCCTCCCTCTCTGTTGAGTGACATGTGGTCGGTGTGTGTTGGCAGAGATCACAGGCAGCCAAAACACAGCTGGGAGCTCCGAGCTATAAAACCCCCAAGGGAGCTGGGGCCTAGCTGTCTAAGAAACTGTGCAATCTGGCATATCGTAAAAGTATAAACCAAGTCCCTCACTGAACTTCAAAAGACCTTCCAAGGGGCCGTAAAGACAGACTTACTTTTAAAAACTCACTTTTTCATATAAGTTGATATCTTCATGTAGGACATAATTACCTAAACACCCAAAATTACCTAAAAGCCCATATTCGGAAGGCTCAATTTGTGACCATTCTCCTGGTATGTTACACCCCTTAACTGGCATACATAGAAAAGCAGAAAAGTATATCTCCTGAACAATCCAAGTGTATATGACATGTTTTATCTCTATCAAAACACAGAAAATGATGTACAATAAACCCTCAAAAACTATGTATAGTCCAAAACCCACAAGTCCAATCTTTAAATCAACTTCTTCTTGTGTTCAAAAATTCCTCCTTTAATGTACCTCAAACAGAAAAAAATATTCACATAGTGCATTATCCTTTTATATGTATCCAAATAATAGTGACTTTATTAAAGTGAATACCCAATCACATAAATCAGTGAAAAAAGTGAACAAATTGAAAAAAATGAGAAAACTGTGAAGCCAAAAAAATTGAAGTGAAAAGCCACGTGAATGTGAATCACTCTTCAGTGCTTTCATCCAACCAGCACTGTGACACTTCTAAATAAAAGAATGCATACCCTTACCAATATTCAAAAAAAGAGAAGCTTTTTCATATATCTTTTCCCCAAGGGGAGGTGGGAGACAGTCCTCCTATTGATCTTTACTCCATATAGCCTTCAAATCACCACCAAGATTCATCAGCCTTGAAGCTCCATATATCCAAAATATAAGCATACAGGAAACACAAATAGCATAATACCGCCAGAACCAATCTTAAAAGGTAACTTTAATTAAGGTGCTCACATTTTGACAATATAAAAACCGCTTTAAAAGTATTAAATGTTTAGCAGCAAACCAGGAAGTGTCCAAAGGAAAATCAGACGATCCCCTTTGGACACTTCCTGGTTTGCTGCTAAACATTTAATACTTTTAAAGCGGTTTT